GGGGGTTTTTTTTTTTTTTTTTGGAGAGGTTTTTGCTATAGGGCACATGCACTTGCGAGAGAGACAGAGAGCAAGAAATTACCCCCCCAAGGGGATGGCCACACCGCAATCCCTTCTCCTCCATTCTCCTCTCGGGATCTTGGGCACGCACGCACATGCGCCCGGTGTGAATTTAAGCCACCAGGTCTGGGGCTTGAACCACAGTCAACTACATGGGAGTTCAGCGACATAGTCATTATGCTAACTGCTGGTCCCAAGGCCTGAGTTCTTCAACATGCTGCAACTGGAGTTTAGAGGGAGCGAAGAGACTGTGGCCCAAGCCGGACTGGGCGGGTGAGGGCAAAGACTTCTGTGTGGTCAGCATAACGGGGACGGAGGTGGCAACCAGGGAAGCACAGTGATGGAATAGAAGCACAAGCTAGCTGCTTGCTGGCTGCCCAGCGGCCTCGAGTGCCCTGCAGGGTGGACAATGGACTGGTCGGGCAGTTGGTGCCCTCTGCTACTGCCCTTACGCTGGTGCTGCAGGGTAGCTGTGCTCTCCCAAGGAGGCCCTTCCAGAGATGCAAAGGATGGCATTTCTCAGGGTGGGTTTCAGTTCTCTCAGAGGGACAGCACGTTGCACGTTGGTGGCAGGTTCGAGGCAGCAGTGAATGTGGTGACTGTGGTGGTCTTTCTGCAGCTGATGACTTTTCACTGCTCTGCAGAGCAGCCGGGTAAGTGGAGGGCCGCCATTTGTCATTGCAGAGAGAGCACCTCTCCCTTGTCTGATTAGATATAGAGGATTTGAGTAAAATATAATCTCCCCAGAAGTTTGAGAACTGCTGCCCTGGCTCCTGGTGGGGCTGCAGCGTGAGATGGCACGGCCACTGGCAAGGTTGTGCTCGCACAGTCACACATTCACTCGCATTGTTTTGCTGGCACCTACTGAGTGCTGGGCCCAGCTTAGCACCCCAAGCATGCACAGGGTGAGAGAGGTGCTCACAGCCTAGCCACCCAGTCTCTGCTTCTAGCTGAGTAAGCCGGACCCAGGGACTCCAGGAGGAAGCCAAGGAGCTGGCAGGGCCCACGGGTGTCGGCGTCCGGCAGAGCGCACAGGGCTTGGGCTCCTTGGGCTGAGCAGGAAGCCTCATGGAGCAATGAGGAAGTAGCTCTGAGGCA